CGAAGGATTTGCTGCATGTGTAGACTCAGAGATTACTGCAGCAGACAGCTCCAGCGGTACTCGTGTTTCCTGTGTTGGTCTGGGGGCTTGCGGTATCTATGAGGCCACCACCAATTTAGCCATCAACGTTGATTGCCTAGAATGCAGATCCTCCGATGCATGTGTATCCGCCACTCTCCCTGGCTGCCACTTCCATGGAGAGCGTTGCCAGGCTGGTCCCCAAGGAAGCTGCCCTTGCAGCTTGGCCACATCCACGGGAGAAGCCTATGTGGAGCAGGACATCAGCACCCTTCATGATGTCGCATACGATTCTAATGCTAACAGCATCCTTTGTGCAGGCCAAGTAAACGGGGTATGCCGGGGTGGCACGATCATGGGATGCCCTACAGTTGAGTGTAGAACACAGGCCTGCAAGGGAACCACAGTCTGGAAACCAAACGACTTGGACTGTGTTGGCAAATGGGCTTGCCGAGAAGCTCTTCTCAAGAAACTCCCATCTGGTGCCACAGCCTCCTGCAATGGGGACAGGGCATGTATCGATGCCACATTCACCTCGCAAGGAGAAGAAAGCGTGTCTGTGGATTGCATTGACACTGAAAGCCAGGCGTGTCTACGAGCCACCCTCGATGGCATCGCATTGTAAGCTGGCCAGCCCCAGAGCTGGCCCGAGGCAGCATTGTCAGGGTGCCTTGAATCTCGAATGGCTCTTGCTCTGGTCTTCGTATGGTGCTAGTTCAGGAATAATCAGTAATTTTTCCATTTCGATGTAACGCATGCAGGAGAGCCTGCCCTCGAGGTGAAACTGGCCCTCACAATTCTCTCCGAAATCATTTCACCTCCCGGGTAAATGGACCTCTCTTTGGGAAATGATGTGATTTCAGACAGAACAACATGGGCACCTCTGGCACGGTAACCCCCAACGCTTTGAAGATAGAGTAACATCATGAATAGAGATAGAAGATTAAAACCGTGGGGGCAAAGGACACTCTTTGCTTTTTGATCTATTGATCTATCAATCGAAGGAACACCACCATGGCGCCTTCCAAAAAGCGGCCGCATGAGACTCCACAGAAGAAGAAGATTGCAAGGGCTGCAGGTATCATCAAGTTAACAAAGCATGCGGAGTCCTCGGAAATGAATATCCCTTTGGCTATGAAATGGGCCGGATTTGATACTCCGGAAGTAGAAGACAAGAATTTGCGTCAAAAGGTTCGCCGACGATCGAACGCCATGAAATCTGAATCTGAAGCAGCAAGAGCAGACCATGACGAGCAAGCAGTATGCAAGCAAGCACCCGATATCTCTGTGGCACAAAGAGAGGCACGGAAAAGTCTCTCAATGAGAAACTGGCCGAGAAGAATAGATTGACCGGTCGACAAGCTGCGGCCGTTCGGAAACAGAAAAAGCAGGCCAGAGATGCTCGAAATGCCCACTACAAGGCCGCTTCTCTACTCTAGTTGTTGATGAAGGAAGCACAACAACAAGATGACTTCACTTACATCCCAAAGTCTGCAGAGACCATCGCGTCGGAATACAACAAGAAACATGGAACAGATTTGAATGGCAAATCCATTCGCAACATGGTCAACCGTGGAGATGCTGGCAAGAGCCCCAAGCGACGGGGCCCAAAGGGAAGAATCGATCCCATTGGATTCAAAGCTTTGTGTGGAGCTGTCGAGTCTCTCTGTTCACTCTCTCCTGATGTCGACAAGTCCAGGTTGGTAAAGCGTTTGAATGCCTGCATCAACATGAAAGAAGGCCTTGGCAAAAGGCAAGGACGATGGCTGCTTGAACGGGTGGAAGCAGAGATTGGAGATATGCTTGAATGTGGAAAGCCAAATCGTGTTGAAAAAAGGAGGACCAAGTGGGCAACGTACAGTAACATCAACTTGTGGTTTGAATCTCTCAAAGCTCATTTCATTGAGATTGGAGCAGCAAAAGAAAATACAGAAGACATTGGAGCCAATGGTGAGCTTACATGGGTTGATGAGACTCAAGGCCGGAGGATTGCCAATATTGATGAGTCAGGGCTGACACTAGATGATACCAAGAGTCAAAAAGGAGGTCGGCCTCCAATGAAATTTTACAATCCAAGGCTGCAGGGCGAAGCCATTTACGAGGCACACAATAGCTCTTATTACCACTGCGCTGCTAGCAGGAACGTTTGCCTCTGGTGAAAAGCTGCCAGAACACTTCCAGATTCCATCCAACGCTCAACAAGAGGAGAATATGGAGGTGCCTGTCGACTTCATTGTCGATATTCTAGAGACGACCGGTCAGTATTTGCTGGAAGAAGGAATCAAAACGATCTCTGCTATGTATGGTGCCAACAAAAAGGGAGGCATGAACAAGGAACAGTTTGGCAAGTGGACAAAGGGAAACTTTATTTCTATTGTTATCGATGATACTGCAGATGTGCCAGGAAAGAGATGCACTTTACTTGTTGATGGTGGACCAGGCCGAACCAACAAGGACATGCTGATTGAACTGCGGATGCTGGGCATTTATCTCTTCCCCTCCGGACCACCCAACACCACCTACATCCTTCAAGTCATGGATATGTTGTTTGGCTCATTCAAAATGGTCTTTTTTGACAACCTGCAGCTCCTTTGGGAGTATCGACAGAACACAAGAGAGGAAACAGACTCAATCACACGCAATGATATTGGTTAGTTGTGTTACGGAATTGCCCGTCGTCGCCAGCAGAATCCTTCCGTTCCTCTCCTCCGGAATGCCATCGAAGAGGCATTCTCCATTGCTAAAGCAAAGCACGCATGGAATGACACTCTTGGAGTGTATCCGCAGTTCACTCGCAAAGCTCTCAATGACCCAAAGGTTCGTCATGATCTGGTTGTTGACGCCAATGGAGCTGCCGCCGACTCTATTGATCCGCAAGCTTCCTATCTGAAAGAATTGAATGAGCGAAATGAGATGTGCTGTAACATCCTCTTGTCGTTTGGTTACAATGGAGACTTGCTCCGTTACCAGGAACTGGCGTTCGAACAAGCGAAGAGAGTCGCTGTAGTCACAGCTCCATGCTCATTGGAGAGACAGCTTGCTCTGGAAAAAGCAGCAACACAAGGACAAGTCTTTAAAGTTACCGGAGGTGCGGCTCTGAATGATGATGACTTTCTTATTGCCGATGAGAGGAAGGAACTCCGGAGGAAGGTAGATGAGCTGGAAAAGGAAAAGAAGTCCCATTTTGCGTCTTGGAAGCGACAGCAGAAGGCCATGGCCATCATTGAGTCAGAGAAGCCATTGAGCCGGTTAACAGGAGAGGATCTGAAAGACCTCATTGCCTGAAAGAGTGGCAAGCCATGTCCATCCAAACTGTCAAAGAAAGATGACCGAATGGCTCGATGGCTGGAGCTCAAAGACTTGGTGGTGGACTCTGTTCAGCCGTGGCCAGAAGAGAAAGAGGACGAGCTGACAGATCTCACCACACGGATTGCTTCCAACATCAGCCTCGAGGACACTGGATATGGCCGTCAAAAGGAAGTCGCCAAGGCAAAAGCCAAGGCAATCATAGCAGGAATGGATGCTTCTGAACAAGAGGAGTTCCTCCGGAGCTTGAAGGACCACTCTGAGGCGCCAACAGAGGATCTTTCAGAGTCGGAGAGAGTGGCTGCAGAGGGTGACACGGAGTGCACAATTGAGCTCTCTATAGCAAGCTGTCTATATGGGTGGCCATGACTGTTACCGGTGGCTGATCAACAAGGTGAGTTTTCTTTACAGTGTTGTCAACAGACCTTCCATTGGTAATTATCTCATCCGATGCTCCTATCACTGTTTACATCACCAACAGATGGCGCGCCATGGCGCCAAAGCAGTCATTGTGACTATTTTTTCGATTCAAATCTAACAAGCTACTAGCATGGAAAAATTACTGGTTATTCTCGTAGTTGTATTCCAGAAGTAACTTTGCCTTTGAAACTGATTCTTATAGCTTATTAGTGGTTGACAATTAATCTAGTTATCCATCTTCGATTCCGTCTCTTCTTTGTCAAAGCCGGCTTTCGTAGATATCTTCCCGACAGTCTCTAGCTAGATTTCCAGTAGACGAGAGAAACAAACAGTGGAAACTGTAGGTGCGGAAAAGTCTACAAACAGTCCACGAAGCGAGCAAGCGAGCAAGGGAGCATGAGCAGTAATAGTTTTCGTCGGAGGTCTATGGAGCATGGAGTGAGCAAGGGAGCTCGCGCCAACAATGGCGCAGCAAGAGACGAGATTCCTCAGACATAGAGGACACACTGCTGTACATCTTGAGCCCGACCAGGAGACCACGAAGAAGAACCCGAGAACCATGGCTTCGGCACGTCAAGAGAGAGAAGCAGCAAGAGTGAGACTTGAGCTATTATCTAACAGTGATCAGGCTCGACGACACAAACCATTGCAATCAACTTGTGATGCGTGCGCCAAGGTCCATCATTTCCCAGCCATTGTAAAACTTCTGGGAGAGGCCTGGATCAGATCCAAGGGTCACGGTAAGGAGACAAGGAACCAGTCAACTGAAAGACCAACGACGTCGTCGCATCATGCTACAGAGAACCAACCAGGAAGCACATGCAAACCAAGGGAACCACTGACCACTGAAAATGAGTCCAACTAAAAAGTCAACAAGAAGGGAAGAAGAGATGCGTCAGACTGGAGCAAGCGACCCGCCAAACAGAAGAACCGACTGATCGACTTTACCTTGCTGAAGCGACGACGAACCAACCAATCCACAGAGGAACCATAGCACCGCAAGAAGTCTCTGCTGATGGTGCAAAGAGTGGTGCCATGTGCCACTGCAAACTATCATTTCAAGATGACGTGCATGGATGCGCGGGGTGGGGTTCCAGGACATATTAACCGATTCAGACAAGAAGTGCATAAGGACCACCCACCAACCGAGGCCCAGGTGTTTCCCTCAGCCAAGTCTGCTCACCGGTCACACTAGCTAGCTAGCCTCCTGAGAGGGTGTGACGCCTATTCGCTATCGAAAGGTTTGCACAAGCTATGGTTGCCATACCAGGATCATACGATTTTAGCAAAAAGTGACTGAACTAAGTAAGGATCATGCGCTCGTGCGGGTTCCAGGACAGACACAAGCCATGACATGCAGAGACCATAACAGAAGTCTACCAAGTCCGACACACCAGCTTCCAAAACACACCAAAGACGAAACTGTAATAAAAAATAATGTCAAAACCAAGCAAATATCAAAGTATGGTCTAAAGCAGCGGGCAAACCGGACTTGCATCATACAAAGATGCTGGATCAGCACACTCCATCGAGCTGAACAAGTGATCCTTGTACTGGCCGACTGCAGAGTCGCAAGTCTCAAATTGGTTGGCATCGATCTGGCGATCGGCCAACACAAGATCTCCGTGAATGTTGGAAATATCCCATTCGGCCTGTAGCGAGGCGGTCAAGAGTCCGGCATCGGCGAGATATTCCACGTCCTGCAGACATGTATCATGAATCGAGCAATGGCTGGATAGGGCACAATACATGACGTTGGTGCAAAACACGGGACCTTGCAAGTCACAGTTTCGCGGGTTTTCCTCCACCTTCAAGTCTGAAAAGCGGCCCCGTTCAATGGAAACGACTTGGTCCATAACCGCAAAGAGAGCACTCCCGTAAGTAATGTTGGTAAACGTGCTGTCGACAATGGATACCTGATTCCCTCGAGACGGCAGCGCCATTGTGCCCTGGCTCCATAGGTAGGGGTTGATTCCAACGTATACCAGAAACAAAGGAACGAAGCTATGTTGCCAACGGCAATCGATGAGTTGTATATCTTTGGCTTGTTGGTTGGCGACGAGCACCGATGCGGACCCGAACTGAAACCCTTGATCCAATGTTCCAGTAAAGGTGATGCCACGAACGGTCACATTTTGAACGTCTTGTGGGGTAATCCCATACTGATTTTCTCCGTAGTACATAATGACAAGCTGACTGGTTCCTCCGTCCAAAGTGCAGTTGTTGCTGGATGAACCATCGAGGCCACAGCGGACTTCGACATTGGATCGAACAATGAACAACGGGTCCTGGCCATTTATGTATGTGTTGTTGACGGAAGGTATTCTCATGATCCCGATTCGGATATGGGAGTTGGGGCACACGACAAAGAGGTCTTGGTGGGGGTTTTGTACCAGCGCAAAGTTCAACTCGAGAGACTCGGAAAAGCAGGGATAGTCAAAGGTTGGAGCCGGTGTGACAGTGATGATCTCATTGATCTCGGGCAGTGACAGATTGGTACGAGTAGTCAAACCAGCATCATTCAAACTGCTACTCTCTTGGTTGCTTTCTCGCAGTAGTACCAAAAGCGTCACAACCAGAGCAGCAGCCAAGACACAAATAATCACAGCGGCAATGGGCCACAACCAACGCTTATTGTCGCCTTGTTCCGGCAGTGTTCCAGTGTTTGCGACTTGGTCGTTCTTGTTATTATTCGTTGGCTCTTGGCGTTCCAAATCATCCGACGACAGTACTTGTATGGCTTCCACGGGAGGAGTCACCAACTCTGCTTCCACCAATCTGGAGTCGTCGGCTGTGGACGCCATTGGCTCCATGGAAGGAGGTGGAGGGTCATTAATGGCAAAGGGAGTCGGAGCAACGGCAAAGGCTCCAGGTGTGCTCGTGCTGGTGATCGTGCTGGCGCTTGTTTGACCCCGTCCAAGTTCGTTCACGGAGGGAAGCGGAGCAATGGATCCATGTAGCACTGGTACATTTTCCTCTTCCTTTCCTGCCTCTTCCGTCGCCTTGTAGTCTGCGGCAAGACTATCATTCGTCGCAGTTCTTTGTTGCTGTTCGTCTTGCTTCATATCTGCAGTTTGCAATAGTAAGTATGAGCTAGCTATTGTAACGTTAATGGTACCGTACGGTTGGTGGTATATCCTCTATACAGCTCTTTTTGTCTCCAGTTATGAATGCGCTATCTCTGCTGAGTTTTTGGCTGCGTTTTTTGAAGAAGATACTCGTGCTAATCTGTGGTCTGTGGCGTTTGGCTGCGTTTTGAAGAAGATACCACCGGATTCTCATTCCCGAAGGATACAGAATGCGGCCACGCAACCATCCCAGCTGTTACCTAGCAATTGTTCTTAGAAGCTCTTTGCGTTCTAAGTAATGTATGTTTTTACAAGACGCTTTCACTCTCCGTGTCTTCAATTCCGACTGCTTCTCAAAATATATATGGACTCTGGGTAAGTGCAATACCGCAAACAACTTTTGTACAGTACGGTTTCTCATAGTAGAGGCCTCGACAAGACATTATTCAGTTCAGCTAGAAACCAGCTGTTCTTCTTTGGATCTTTTTGTGACGTTGTCAGCTCCTTGTGTCATTAGTCTATTCTTGTTTTGCAAAACATCATTGGTTTTGGTTGCTTGCTTGCTTGTAATGCTATGCAGCAACAACAATGAGATCCTTCCAGGTCAACATCAACGCTGGATGATTTCTTCTGCTATGTACATACATGTACTGCTGCCTTTGCCACAACTACAGTACTGGTACTAGGCTATCTACATGTATCTATCGATCGACTCGAACGGCAAAACGTACGGATTGGCGCTGATAGTGGATCGGGACCAACATGCATGGTCCTCAGGTGGCGGGGTCTGGCAATGGCGATGATATTACACGGTATGTGAAAAAGACAGGAACAACTGTGCCTTTTGCGAATACGGTACTCCATCCCGTCCCAGCCATCACATGGGAGGCTCCGGTACCAACTGGTATCATCCGCATTTGCACTACTGTACAGGTTACTCACATGGAAGAACAAGCATCCGGTGAAGCCTTTGGATTCTTGAAGACCGTATCAGTTCCAAGGGTCGCCGCATGGAGACAAGGAACCTGCCGACCGACCGTCACCGACCGACCGACCAAGGCCAAGCACATGCAAAACCAAGGGAACCTATGACTGACCATGAGTCCGACCAAAAACTAGCAAGGAGGGAAAATAGGTGCGTCAGACTGGAGCAAGTGACCTGCCCAACAGAAATACCTTGCTGAAACGAGGACGATCCAACCATCCACAGAGGAACCACTGCAAAAGTGACCTGACTCTATGCTGATGATGAAAAGAGTGTGCCATGTCCCCATCGGCAATGAAGAACCAAACTTTGGAAGAAGGCTCACATGCTGCACAGCACACTGTCATTTCACAATGAGGTGGATGCGCGGGATGCAGTCCCAGGACAAAAAAAAAAGAACCTCTATTAATTAACGATTCAGACAATAAGTGCCTTTAAAGGACGACCCACGAGCCGAGGCCAGGGTGTTCCCCTCCGTCAGGTCTGCTCACCGGCCACACTATAGTTAACCTTCTGAGAGGGTGGGACGCCTATTATAGCTATCGAAAGGTTTGTACTCTGAGGTCTGAGCTATGGTTGCCATACCACCGATCATGCACTCGTGCGGGTTCCAGGGCAGACATCGATCAGCCATGCAGTGACTGTCACAGTATAGTCTACCAAGTCCAACACATCAGCTTTTTAAAGAACCACCAAAGTGGAAAAGTAGATCAAAAATAATGGTAAAACCAAGCAATAATCAAAGTCTGGTACTGTAGGCAGTGCCACCACGAAATACATGTATGTCTCTAAAGCAGCGGGCATACCGGACTGGTATCATATAAAGGTGCTGGATCAAAACACTCCATCGTCCTGAACATGTCATCGTTGTACTGGCCGACTCCAGAGTCACAATTCTCAAATAGATTGGCATCGAGCTGGCGATCGGCCAACACAAGGTCTCCGTTGTTGGCAAGATGGATGCTAGAAATATCCCACTCAGCCTGTGGCGAACCGATCAATAGTCCAGCATCGGCGAAATATTCCACGTCCTCCAGACACGTAGCATGCATGGAGCACTGGCTCTCTAGGGCACAATACATGACGTTGGTGCAAAACACGGGACCTTGCAAGTCACAGTATCGTGTGTCCTCCACAACCTTCAAGCCGGAAAAGTGGCTCCTTTCAATGGAAATGACTTGGTCCATAGCCACAAACAGAGCACTCCCATATGTGATGTTGGTAAAGGTGCTGTTGGCGATGGATACCTGATTCCCTTGAGTTGGTAAAGACATTGTGCCCTGGCTCCATAGGTAGGGGTTGATTCCAACGTATACCAGAAAAAACTGAACGGAGATATGTTGCCACCGGCAATCAATGAGTTGGATATCTTTGGCTTGTTGGTTGGCGACGAGCACCGATGCGGACCCGAACTGAAAATGTTGATCCAAGGTCCCGGTAAAGGTGATCCCACGAACGGTCACATTCTGAACGTCTTGTTGGGTAATCCCATACTGATTTTCTCCATAGTACATTATGACAAGCTGACTGGTTCCTCCGTCCAAAGTGCAGTTGTTGCTGGATGAACCATCGAGGCCACAGCGGACTTCGACATTGGATCGTACAATGTACAACGGTTCCTGGCCATTTCGATAGGTGTTGTTGACGTTGGGTATTCTCATGATACCAATTTGGATATGGGAGTTGGGGCACATGACAAAGAGATCTTGTTGGGGGTTTTCAACCAGAGCAAAGTTCAACTCCAGAGACTCTGAAAAGCAGGGATAGTCATAGGTTGGAGCCGGTGTAATGATCTCTGGCAGTGACAGATTGGCAGCACCAGCATCATTCATGCTGATTGCCATGACTTGTTCGTTGCTTTCTCGCATCAGTAGCAGAAGTGTAACAACCAGAGCAGCCACCAAGGCACAAAGAAGCAACGAAACAAGCAACCAACGCTTGTTGTGGCCATAGTTGGCTCTGGAATGTCCTTTTTTCTTTGGCTTTCCAAATCATCCGACGACAGTACTTGTATGGCTTCCACGGGAGGAGTCACCAACTCTGCTTCCACCAGTCTTGAGTCGTCGGCTGTGGACGCCATTGGCTCCATGGAAGGAGGTGGAGGGTCATTAATGACAAAGGGAGTCGGAGCAACGGCAAAGGCTCCAGGTGTGCTCGTGATCGTGCTCGTGCTGGCTCTCGTGTGACCCCGTCCAAGTTCGTTCACGGAGGGAAGCGGAGCAATGGATCCATGTAGGTTGCCTGTCATTGGCGGCTCCATGGAAACAGGAGGGTCATTAATGGCAAAGGGTATCGGAGCAACGGCAAATGATCCAGGTGTGCCGGTGCTCGTGTGACACCGTTGTAGCTCGTCCACAGAGGGAAGCGGAGCAATGGATCCGTATAATACTGCTGGTCCGCGGTCCTCAAACTCGGTGTTGGCGTTGCATCCTGCTCGTTCCTCTTCCGTCGTCTTGTCGTCTGCGGCATCATTCGTCGCAGCGCTTTGCTGCTGTTCTTGTTGCTTCATATCTGTAGTTTGCAATATCATGTATGAGCTATTGCTACCGTAGGTATCTTCTATTTTAGGAATCCTTTTGCTTTGGCGTGGTGTGAAGTACTAAATAGATACGTTAAGGAGTGAGGGGGGCGAAGCTAGGCAAAGCAGTGGCTGTGGTGGTGGGTGGGTGTTGTGGTGGGCGTACGGGGAGAGCAATGAGGAACAAATAAAATGTAACTGCGCGAAGCTGTGTGTTTTGGTAAGAAGATACTCTGAGAAAAAATCTTACTGGTTTTGACCTTTTGACCATTTCATCATTTCCACTGGATTCTCATTCGTGAAGGAAATCCGACCATGCCACCTGTGGCCTCACAAATGTTCTAGACTATTTTATTTTATTAAAAAGCTCTTTACTTCCTAAGTAATGTATGTTTTACAAGTCGCTTTCTGCAACATGAAGTTCCAAGTACACCTAACGGAACACTCCAGAACCCTTGCTTGGATACAGTATTAATAGCTTTTACAGTACAGTTCAGCTGAGTACAGCAAACGTGATATCAATTAGGGGCCAGATGGGTCTATGTCATAGACGTCTGGACATCTATCTGTCTGGACGCACATCCAGATCAGCATATTAAATTTACTAGACTACTCAGAGCTCAGAGTTCAATGTAGATGTAGCCAGAGCTACCCCATACCCCAGAGATACTGGTACCAGGCAGTACGATACAGTACCAGCACCTTGAGGTAAATTGGCTTGAAAGGTTGAAATAGCTTGGTAAAAATTCAAAAACAAATAATTTTGCTGAAAATGATTATGACTTGGAACAGAAAGGATCTCTGGATTAGGATCAACGCCTTTAACTCCTAGCTAGTAGGATCACTGGCTTCCAACTGGCTTCCACAGAAATAAAAGCCAAGTTTTCCTAAAAACAGAAGCCAATGATCCAAGGGGTTAAAGGTTAAACCCAGTCTTCTTTTCTGTTCCAGGATGACTTTACTATACCATTATCAGTACAAGCATTTTTCCAGCTGGAACAACACAGAAGACTGGCTTTGTTCCCAAATATGCTTTTAAAAACAGGCTTCAGAAACCAGTGATCTGGGCTTTAAAGCCAGTGTTCCGATTAATAAGCCAGTAATCTTCTTGGATCCTACCAAGATGCAAATTCAAAATTGCTTATTGGCTTTTTGGAACTCGAGTTTTGCAAACGCACCAACAAGTACGACAACTACAAGCAAGGTTTGGCAATCGATCGACGGAAATAATTGAGGGTCCGCGGCAGCTGTCTGTCTCCTGGTCCGATCATGCGCATGGAGAAACCGGGCAAAAAGTACGGATTGGTGCTGATAGTGGATCGGGAAACCCCGGCAACAACATGCATGGTCCTCAAGTGGTGGGGTCTGGCAATGGCGATGATATTAGCTACTCGGTATGGTATGTGAAAAAGAACTCCTGTGCCTTTTACGAATACGCCATCCCGTCCCATTACATGGGAAGTACCGTACCAACTGGAATCATCCGCATTTGCACTATCAGACAATCCTCTGGGTCGAGCCTTTGGATTCTTGATTATTATTGAGGACGGTCCCGAAGAGTACTGTACACTGACGATGACTCCGTTATCATTGTACGACTCTTGACGCTTGACGACTCGGATACATCCCCGCATATTAGTACTCTTCTTTGCTTTTAAGCCTGGCCCTCGCTGGCTTCCATAGATAATCTGGGTCCCTGCTGGCTCATGAGGCCTTTCGTCTCTGAATCATTGCTTCCTCCTTTCGCCCCTCTCTTGTCCCGTTGCCCCCATTTGCTCTGCTCCCCTGCTCCCTGCCCTTACCTTGTGATTCCCCACCACACCACCACAGGTTTCATGCTCTGCCTAGCTTAGCCCTCCTCACCTCTTTTAAAATAACTACCTAGACTACTCTAACCCCCTGATCATAGTATTCATCAACGAGGACAGCTTGCGGATTGCGGACGGTGCTGAGACGATTTGGCACATTAATTGCCATCTTTGAAGGCTTAAGCGTACGTTATCTCCACAGCTGGCCTGCGATGCATACCGGTACAGGCATCCTACCATTATGTAGCGACCGAGCTTCTGAATTTTTATTAATTAAGAAGATCGACGAGAAATGGGGTTGAAGTGACCGATCACATGCTTGCAATGAAAGGTGGTGTCCTTTAAAACCAACATCCGTCATGAACATGCAAGGCTCCAATACCATCGTCCATCCTTGGCTATCCAGCTTCTAATTTTAAATAAGCGACCGAAAGCAAACCATGAACAACAAAGAAACCAATCAAACTAAACCAGTTGCTGGATTGAAAAGCACCAGCTTTAGCTCTGGGAGCAGCACAATCGATCATGCCACTTCGGCCCCTACTACTACTGCTCCAACTTTGGATCACACTCGTCAACGAATGACCGAAGAAAGAGCTGCTAAAGAAGCCTCCAGAGCTAGCATGCACCATGCTACTGGAACTGGTACTACTGGTATAGTTGCTAGCGGCATTCCTGGAGCTGTTTTGGAGAGGAGTCAAAAGAGACAAAAAGAGGCCAAACGAGCTACTACAGATGGACTGGTGGATAGCATGGATGACAGGAAGCCACCCCCTTCAGCAACTGCCACACGTGGACTCAAGAGGTCTGTGGAAGAAATGGCTGCTAAGGATGCCGCTCGACGTAGTAGCACTGGGAGTGGACTGCTGGATAGCACGGATGACAGGAAGCCACCCCCGTCAGCAACTGCCACACGTGGACTCAAGAGGTCTGTGGAAGAAAAGGCTGCTAAGAATGCCGCTCGACGCAGTAGCACTGGGAGTGCCACATTGAGTGCATCTGCTGTTGTACCTAGTCCAGCAGCTCAGAGGGGACTGAAACAGTCTGAGGAAGAAAAGGATGCCAAAAAAGCTGCAAGAGGAAATAATGCTGGGGCAACAAATCAAGCTCAAGCCATTTCATCTAGGAGTGCTGCCATGGCCATGGTCAATCCCATGGGGTCAAATGGAAGCGCAGCAGCTGCTGCTATGCAGCCTGGAGCGCATTGTGTAACAGCAAGTGACACCGTTAGTAGCACTTCTGATGAGCGTTCCTCGAGATCTACGACCATGTGCGGCCTTGCCAAGAACCGAAAACCTGTCTCAGGGCAAGCACCCGCAACGGTTCGTGGCGCTTCTGATGAACGTTCCTCTGCGACAACACGTGGCCTTGCCAAGAACCGAAACCCATCAGTCTCAGTGCAAGCACCAGCAACGGTCACAGAGAACGAACCTGGCAACACGCAGGTAGTTCAGTCCGAAATGGCTTCTGTTGGTATCAACGGGGAGGGACTTGGAACCACTATACAAACACAAAATGATTGTGAACCAGAGGCTCCTGCCCCCATCCCCAATCCCCTTCAGCCATTGGAAATTGAGGATAATTTTGTATATGCAGCCAACATGCCCAGTGCAAGTCCCGTTGATGAGAATCAGACGTGGCAGCATGCTGTCCCTGTGGAACAGTACAATGAAACAGAAGGTTCTGGTAGGAAATCACCTCTCATCTTTATCATTGTTGGCTTGTTTGTGGTAATTGGAATCATTGTGACAGGAGTCTGTGGCAGCGGCCACTGCAGCAGTAAGGACTCCTCATCAGAGGAACAAGAACTCAGTCCCAGAGATATGGAAGGCATGGAAATCAAAGCCCAACTGGAAAAAGTGCTAGGTCCAACATATTTTGATGGTTCCACAGAAAACACGGAACCTCATCAAAAAGCACTCAACTGGATCATCCATCAAGATCCCCACCAATTGCCTTGGAATTCCAACCATTTACTCCAACGATATATTTTGACACAGTTTTACTACAGTACATCGCAAGCCAGCCCTTGGAAATTCTGTGGCGCTGCCAGTGGTGCACAAACAGACGTGTGCAAAGAAAGGCGTTTAAGCCACCAATTTTTTTCGGAGCGATGGTTGTCGGGAGTTCCTGAATGCCGGTGGGCTGGATGCAGTTGTGAGGGAGAGACCAAAAATATTACTGTAGTTGATATCTGTGAGTATCAAACATGCACAAATTGTGCTTTTTGCGAAGATACCAATGATCTCACCAAAATTCGGCTGCATCTGCTGCCAATGCATGGATTGCTTTGTATAGGGGACAATAGCTTCACAGGGTCACTTCCAAGCGAACTAGGCTTGTTGTCCCATGCAGTCAGGTTGTCTTTTCGATCCCAAGACTTTACTGGCACTATACCCACAGAAATGTACCAATTGAAAGCTCTTACCAATTTGGATCTTTCAGACAACACTTTTACAGGAACCATCGATCCTGCAGTCTTCTCCATGCCATCATTGGGAACACTCCATTTTTGGGGCAACCAAATGACAGGCACCATCCCAACTGAAATTGGGCTCTTTCAAGGTATGTGTATAATACTTTTCTTGACAATCCTCTTGATTCATTGCTTATCATTGGAACCTGTTGCCCGTTTCATTTCAAAGGAGAGGTGCTCTTCATGCACGTAAATTCTTTTACAGGAACGATACCTTCCGAATTGTTTTCCGCCAACAAGGTCGGGTTTTTTTATTTTGGAGATAATAAGGTAGGTTGGCCGTTCTGTTGTTTCCAACCTCCAATATCTTGACTATGTCCTCATTTGCCATTGGTTGGCTAGCTCTCTGGAACCATTCCCACAGAAGTTGGACTTTTATCCCAGCAAGTCCATCTTGACACGAACGCAGACTTTCAACCTGATAGTGGTCCTAAATTTGGTTTTGCCCGCAATAATGCATTGTCTGGGACAATTCCATCAGAGTTTGGGCTGGTGGACAAGCTATCTGAATTCAATATTGGAGATACACGCATTGAAGGCACCATTCCTGAAGAGCTAATCTTGAACTGCCTCAATTTGTGGTTCCTCCGTGTAGAAAACTGCAACTTGAGGGGTACATTGAGCACCAACTTGGGATTACTCACAAATCTCAGATTTTTATTGTTGGCGAACAACAATTTTTCAGGCAGCATCCCCGTGGAGCTTGAAGCGCTGACATTGTTAGAAGGCTTTACTACGGATGGAAATCCTGAACTCAGAGGGAGTATTCCTGGTGGCTTGTGCTTTGAAAACATGTTTAATGCCCAAGGCCATGAGTTTGTAGTGGACTGTGCGACTACCACAATCACGGCAAGTGATGGTACAACTGGCATGGGAGAACCACTTGTGTCTTGTCCTGAAGGATGTTGCAGTGCATGCTGTGATGGGGGGACTGGAATCTGCATGGAACAGTAGCTGAGGCCCTGGGAGAGGAGCGGCAACCAAAGCAGCCTTGAAGATTTCTTCAAGAATGGCGCCTATCGGCTTTGATCGAAGCTGGCGCAATTAAGCTGTGCTGACGACATATATCATTTCGGCTGGCTGAACTTACAAGAGGACGGCTGGAGATGGTAGCGTCGGAGCGACACAAAACTCTGCAGCCCGGTTAGACACTCGAGTCGAGTCACCCGGAAGCCAATTGTGTCCTTGGCACTGAATGATGCCCAGCTCTGCGGCAGCCAGATCTTGTCATGAGGGAGCACTCCAACGGGCTGGACTGTTTGCCTTTTCAAGATGCACCAATGTGTTTCCGCGCGTGGACTTGGACGATGCGGCACTGTGTTTCGGAGATCTTGCCAACAAACCAAATTGGTGGTGCCAGGATGGGTTGCTCAAGAGAGTTGCACCGTGGGATTGGATGCATGGAGGCTTCTGGACGTGGCGAATTACACCCCGAGGGCTTGGCTCACTACATGTACTTGCTTGTATTGTATCAAGGCGCGTGGCTGCTCTGTCGGGGCTCATAACGCAAGGATCTATCTACCATCCAAATCCCAGCCATTTGCCAGCCGATCGGACAGGCTAAGCCTTCCCAAGAAACTCTTTTCGGCGTGCATCGGATGTGGGAATCCAACTCGTTTGTCTTTTTGAACCTTTGCAGAAGCCACCCAGGACATGGCAGTGTTTGGAGCCGTCGAAACGACTGCTTTGGACCCAAGAGAGTGGGTGGTGATCCATGGCTTACTCCCGACCGAACCACCAAATTGTATGTATCTGCCAGGATCATGGCGTCGAAGAAAGACGGGCGCCGTCGCAGCCAGTAGCTAGGTGTAGCCAGTGGCTACGACTTGATAGTATAGAAGGATCTCTCCAGAGAATTGCTTGAGATCCCCTTTCTACAACCACTCTGGCTCTGATTTTGTGTCTTGAACCATCCGACCTTTGATGGGAGCGCTCTGCAACAGTGTTTGCCAGTGTCTTCTTGTGCCACTATCAAGCTCAAGATTTGTCCTATCCTTCCTACAAATACTTTATACTCCTCCCTCTTTAATTACGATAAAGACCACAGAAGTACCACTGGAAGAAGAACCACCAATAAGTGCTACTGTCCCTAACTTTGAACCACCCTTTGTTGGGGTTAACAGAGATTTCTCCAACCGTCTTCCTCAATACCTTTCGGATATCACGGATGGACTCAATGCTCGTCCCTCGCTGCCATTCTCTTTCTCTTCTTCGCCTGTTAGGCGCCGGCCATTGGCTTTGGCATCGTGTTGGGCAGCGCGACGGGCAATTCCATGGGCGTCATTGAAATGGTGGCCAGCACCAGTTTTGAGCGGAGTTCTCTGCGCTCTCTGTTCGGCACAACCCGTGCAATTGATTGGACCGCAAGGACCCGTCGTTGCCTACATTGCCGCTTTGTATCCACTGGCCAAGATGTTGGGGTTGCCCTTTCTACAGCTCTACGCCAGTGCGGGACTCTGTGCCAGCGCTTTTTTGGCGCTGTTTGCCTTGGTATCCGCCTCCAATGTAGTCCAACATTTGACCAGGTGGACAGACGAGATATTTTCGGTTTTGGTCTCGACAATCTTTCTGGTACAGGCCGTGACTGATGTTTCCACCACTTTTGCAGCAGCAGGTCCTCCTGTGACGGCATTGCTTACTTTGGTGAGTTGCAGTTTGACCTTTGGAACCGCCATGATGCTGAGGTCTTTGAATAGGACCAACTACTTGACTCAGAGCATTCGAAAGAACTTGGCAAACTTTGCCCCCGCGGTTGGTGTGGTGATCGGATCTTTGGCCACTCGAGTCGCCCGGTTGAACTGGGGAGCGGCACTCCCGGCATTGCAGCTTCCAAGTGAATTTGTCACATCGTCAGGTCGACCTTGGCTACTGTCTCTGGCGACTACTACGCCCTCCAAACTATGGATGGGGGCCCTTCCAGCCGGTCTCGCAGCCGCCATTCTGTTGTATTTGGACCAAACCATCACCGCTCGACTGGTCGGGCAGACAACAAATAGGAGGGGCACTCTACCATGACCACTGGCCACGCTGGACGTTGAACCGGCAGCCGGGACCTATTTCTGGCTCCCAGCAGCTCTCTCTCTGTGGGTACCGGTTAGCTTCTAGTACCTACGTAATAGAATTCTATTTTAAGGCTACTCTGAGTACGACTGTCCACCGTGCCGCTACCCTAAACCGATGGTTAACTTCTAGTACCTAGTTTTGGAGACTTGGATTGTTCTTGGGTAACGAAACAGCTTGAGCCGGTCTCTATAGTTCGGTCACTATTGATCTGGTGCTGACGGCTCTTGGTATAAAAAAGGCAGCCTATAGTCTGGGCTCTCTTTACTGTGTCTACAAAACTTCATGACCGGGCTAACACATGCAGCCACAACCACACAAGGTTTCGGAACAGTCAAAGCTGAGGTACACAAAGTCGTTGCAAAATTCATCGGGGATCGTCCCGGTGATTGCAGTCCCTTCAATTTGGAGAATCCAAAGAGAATCTTTCAAATTGAACAGCTCAGATGGCAGTGACCCTGTGATATTTGGATTGTTGTTCAATCGAAGGTCTATCATGTTGGAAAGAAGGCCCAACTCAGAAGGAACTGCTCCAGAAAAACCACTCTTGCTAGCATGAAACATTCCCAGTTTACTCAACTTGCCTAGCTCTGTGGGGAGTGACCCTTCAAACTTGTTGTCTGCAGTTTCCACATTCAGCAAGTCCGTCATCAGTCCAATGGAACTTGGTAGCGTGCCACTGAACTGGTTCTTTCCCAGGAAGAATAGCTTCAACTTTGGCAGCAAGGTTCCAATATTGGAGGGAACAGTCCCTGTGAACCTATTACGTGCCAGTTTCAGTTGCTCCACATTAGATAGCTTCCAAACCTCAGTTGGGATAGCACCAAAGAACCTATTGCCAATCAAGTCAATGGCCTTCAGCTTGGTTGAGAGCATCCCAACTTCAGAAGGAACAGAGCCAGTAAGTTGGTTACCTCCAATAAGGAATGATTCCAGTTCACTCATCATGCCAATCTCTGTGAAGATTGGACCACCTACTGCATTTCGAATGATGTTCACTGCCCTCAAGCTATCCAAGAGTGCCAGCTCTGCAGGGAGCGTGCCTTGTAGGTTGTTCCCGGCAAAATCCAGCACTCGCACATGGCCATCCTCATTGCACAGGGACAGACTGTTGGGGTACGGAGCCGCTTTCAAAAACCAGTGACATTCTGGTTGGTAATAGGACAGCCATGGCTCTGAGGTGATATCTACCAGTTCTCCACCTTTGGGCCTTCCTGGTAAGATGCCAATTCTACAACAGGGTTCCTCTGGATCACTGATCTCACTGCTTTGGTTTCTGCTCCCTGAAATTGGAGGCTTTAGAGGTAACCCACCCTGTGATTCTTCAAGACTTCCAGATACCATAACCTCCACGGATTCAGTGCCACCGCCAGTAAGGAACCATTCCTTTCCTTTTGTTGAATAGTAAAAGTGAGCCATCAGAAAGCGTTGGAGAAGACTTTCTTCTGAGTAACTCCCAAGGTATGTATCTGCTCTCATCCAACGGTAGGCTTCAACAAGAGGAGTCTCCTCTTTGGCAACAATGTCATGGTGCAATGACTCAAATGTTGTACTGGGAATTGTGAATGGAAGATCCCATGTCCAAGAGGTGGTGTCAGGTGGTGCTACTGTGGTATGATTCTGAGTTGTTTCTGTTGGTTTGCTCTTGGCCTCTCCTTCCCCTGAGGAATCTCTTTGGGCCAGCCCAACACCAAGTCCCACTCCAATCAGACTCAAAATACAAATTCCCAACAGTACAAGCTGAAGTATTCTAGATGCTTCCGTTTGCTGTCTCTGCTCACGCTGTACTTGATTCCCTGCTACATCGATAGGTTCCGCCACTTCTGTTGGGGTTACTACTGGTCTGGCCTCAGCCAAGCCTTCCACGTTGTCTCTGGGCATCTGATATTCTGGAGTCGTCTCTCTGAAAGAAGATTCGTTACTGTTTCCTTCTTCTTCTGGTCCTTGTCTCCACGAGGGCATTTGGTGATGAGCGCCAGGTAATGATTGCAAAACAACAGGGGAACCGTGTCTTCTTAGACCAAGAGGTGGAGGCGCTGCAACGCCGTCAGGTGTTGATTGTGGATGAGGTGATGGCATGTCCATTGTTTGCTTCGATGATGGGTCGCCGAGGCGGTTTCCTTGACACTTGCTAGTGTCGTGAGGTGTAAGATTCCCGGCAGCATTCAGGACCTTGTCTTTCTTTAGCTTCTCATTGGCATTCATCATATTATCAACATTGCTGGGCTCAGTGAGGTCGAGAATCGCCTTCTCCGCGGGGACTTTGCTCGTCACACGGTCTGCTTCGCCGACAGCTATCTTGGTAGTTTTTTCTAACTCTGAGATATCTGCGTCGTTTTGTTCTGAACTGTCCTGGATAATCCCAATGTCTGTCAATAGACTCATCCTCGAAACAGCTAACTTATCTTGATTTTGGTCACTCGAGTTTCGCCACAGAAGCTTGGGGTCGTCCTGAGTCGCATCGTTCTTTGCTTCATCCACCGAGCACCCATTCCGAGCGCCAGGGACAGAATGCTCCTCCCGTAGTGTACTAGTATCTTTAGCTGTCACCATGTTGCTTCTACTCGTACAGTATTGTAATAGTGCACTCTCTTGAAGGAAGAAGCTCGGCTTTCTTTGAAGTGTTCGAACGTTCGAACACTTTTGGAAAGCCTCGTCGGGTGGAATTCCGATCTCTCCTATGGGTGTAAAACACACCTGTCATCAATGACTTTCTTGCCCTCAACTACCAGGTACCAGCTCGCTAGCTGGCAAGCTGAGGGCTTTTTGAACTTTATTGCCCTCAACTAACAGCTACTGGTAGTCTACTACATGTAGCTAGTAGCAAGCTGAGGTCCGTGTGTGTTTATTGCGTACATATATATGGTGCGGTTTCGCTTGCAAGGTTAAGGCTACCGGTAAGCAAAGTACATAAAGTGCAGTTGCCCTTGCAAGGTTTAAAAGGCGATGCAAGGTACATAAGGTAGAGTTGCTCTTTCAAGGTTAAGGCTTTAAAAAATGCAAGTTGCTGGCTGTCGGCTTGTTGTGTGTTTCTGCTGTCTGTCTTTTCTGTCCCGTACATATGAGGCCACTTTCCCTAATAAGGTTAAGGTGATTAAAGATACTTAGGGTAAAGTTGCCCTTGCAAGGTTGTGGATAGCAAAAAGAGAACCCAACCTTGGCCTTTAGAAAAATGAAAGTAGAGGGCACCAGCCAGAGGCTAGCTGGCTGTCCTTGCCAGAGGAGCCCAAACCAGCTGGTGAGCCTCCCGGGACTCACTAGAACCAGGTAGAATGGAATCCCCTTTTTAAAATTTCTAGCTTATTCTTTTGTGTCATCCCATGTCTATCATACTGCACATGGGAATCCGTTCGCAGGTTATGAGCCCAACTCGTTTGTCACACTTGCACCCAAGCCGAGACTAGACGGGGGTTGTTCCCTCACGTAATATAAAGGGGGTTTTAGAGTAGGGAAATTATAACTGTGGAGCGAGTTTGATGCGATGTTGCCTTCAAAAACCGATGGTGTGACCTCCATCGTCATGGTCGGACGATTGGAGCTGGATCTGGCCGCTTTCGGCAACAATTCAGACAAGAGAATCAGGTCACATCAAGATGACGATGTTGACCGCAAGACCGCAAGCTCAAGCTTGAGGTGAGCTCCACGTCGAAATCCAAATGGCTGACAAGCCATTCTTCGGACGACGACGACCAGCAATTGAGGATTGGCTTCAGCTACCAGGTGGTACCGGCACAGATAAATAGTTGAAGGAGACGTAGTGCAGGGCATCCGTGATGTCAAACGGGCTTGCTGGCTTCTAAGCAGTTCTCAAGGCGTCGTCGTCGTCTCCGTCTCGTCTGCGTCTTTTCCCGCCAAATGAGCACTCCAACCAGAAGCAAGAAGACGAAGACTTCAACCTTCTTGTGGGCTAAAAGAGTGCTGCCTGTATTGCTTAGCTGATCCCAGCTCTCTATAGTTACTTTGCTAGCTAGTACTAGCTAGCTAGGGTATGGATAGACGGCAGTGTCTATCGGCAAGGGGGAATAGAAGCGAAGACTAGAAGAAGAAGAGAAGCAAGACGAAGAAGTGGTATCGGTACTACTACACTACAGTAGAGGTAGCCTACCTTAGCCGAGACGAGTGACAGACAGTCTTAAGAGAAGCCAACAAGTCAAGTCAAGAAACCATGTCGACCCCACCAGGAGGTCCCGAGCATTATCCTCCATCGGCATCAGGTGCTCCTGGTGGCGGTGGAGGCGGTGGTGGAGGGAATGGAGATGGTGGCAGTGCGGCTGGACCGGCTCCTTATCCGTACTACTCGTATCCCTACTACCATTATCCACCTTATTATCATCAGTCCTATTATCCCCCACCTCCTCAGAGTCCAGGACAACCATCGGCATCTGCGCCTTCTGATAATACGTCATCCCCTCAGAGAGGAGGTCATCATCATCCTGGAGCACCCTCACCGGCTGCAGCAGCACCTTCGTATTCACCGTATGGGCATGCTCAGTCTTATCCACACGCTCCCCCTTCTCATCATTATCCACCACAACCACCACAGCATGGCAATAATGGAGGAGACCCATCTTCTGCTCAACCATCCTCTGATCCACAAAATCCATACTCTGGGTATCACAATTACTATTATCCAAACTCTTACTACCCCTATTATTACCCATACTACCACTCATACCCTCAGCAGCAGCAGCACGCGGGAGCTCCTGGAGGACCCAACGACAATCCCCATGCCAATCCACCTGGCTCTTCCGAAATGGCGCCCTTGGATCGAGCTACAAATCCTGGATACCCACAGGCTAATCCTGGAGGATACCCAACAGCCCCAGCTCCTGGATACCCACCTGCACCAGCTCCTGGATACCCACCTGCACCAGCTCCCACAAATCCGTCGTATCCTCCCACAAATCCATCCTACCCTCCACCTGTCCAACCTCAACCCAACACCACCGATGCTGATACCGGTAGTACCCCGAACGATAATCCTCCGCCAAACAACAACAATAACACCAATACTACAAACTACACACCACCATCACAACCACAAGACGCCACCAGTGAAAGCAATACGCCCACCGAATACGATAGCAATGGTAACAATGGACCACCAACGGAAACTGAGGCCGGTCCTGTGATTGTCGATGAACCTCAGCAGCAATCCACCGATGATGCCCTTCCTCCCGTTTCGGCCAACGACGAGGACGATAATGAGGAACAACCTCCCACCAAAAAGAAACGATCGAATCCTCCTGTTGCTGAGGAATCCCAAGAAACAGCACCAAAAGAAAACAAGAAGCAACCGCCACCAGAATCGCCCCAAAAGCCACAAGAATCATCGCCCCAAAAACAGCAAGACACTCCGAAAAAGAAGGAAGAAGAAGATGCCAAGGAAGCCACCGATGGATAGGCAGAGCCCTCAATTAAGCTATTGTGGCGACAGTATGGTTGTATGTGAGCTTTTGTGTGTGCTCAGTAAAGTGAAATCACAGACGGTCGATCGATCGATGCCATCAGTCTGTTGCTTGTTGCCGTCATCCAAACAGCTGGCCCGGACTATACGACCAACCAACAACAGAGAAGCGAATTTCTTCCCTTTGGAAATTGGTTGGATGGAAGTTTTGTTGTTTTTGTGTACGGTACGGTGAAAGAGACAAATGCAAATGACGTGTCATCGAATGCAAAAACGACGACAATGGATTATTTATTCGTCTCAATTGCTCGGTCGGAAGTGATGTTTGTTTGTATTTATTTCGATGTGGAAAATAAGGATGGGTGGGGACAAGACAGCCAGTAGCATTTTGAGCCTAAGAGTGGCCTACATGCTATCATGCTGATCGTTGGTCAAAGGAGAAGAGGAGATCATTCGAAGATTGTATTGCATGGCTTTTACTTGGTTGTCTGGGATAAAGGGAACCGGGAGCCACAAAAGTGTTTTTTACTGTCATTTGGGTTACTTATTGTATCCTCTCGAAAACAAAATTAAGTGAGAGAGGGACACCGGGAAACCATCCTGCCGAACAGAACGCGGATCTAGCTAGGTTCTGAATGCATGCAGAAGCATTCAGAACCTACCTAGCTAGAAAACTAGGCGTAAAATCTCGTGACGTTTTTGTGTAGAAACTACTTTTAAAACCTTTTCGACAGGCCCTCTACCAAAGTTTGGCCAATGATCGGTGCATAAGTATACATGCCTCTCGATTCGATTCGATTCCAACAGGTCACGACGACAACCAACCAAAAAGCAGCTCCAAAACCTTGTCGTCGAAACCAACCTTGCATCTGTTTGGCATCTAGCTAGCTCGTTCTATTATATGAGGTCTACATGACTTGATCTATTTAGCATTTTTGTTGTTTTCCAGGGCTACCGGCATTGCACGGAATCAACAGTGGCTATACCTCGATCGTATGCAGCCAAGTGGAGCCAAGGATCGACGTTTCTTGCCTCTCGGTGTACCTGCACCTGACGAATCCCGATCGAAGCTCGGCTCGCCGCCACATAGCATGGGATGCTTGGTCACGGTGGCCACTTCCACATCTCAATCAGCGACCGACTTGACTGTACAGTACCGCAGTTGCAGCTTAGTATTCATTCATTCATTCATTGAGCCTCTGCTGCCATCTCTGCATCATCGTCGACTGTACACCGTGGCGCCAAGTATCCCTTGTCTCGCTTATACGCCGTTGAAACCGGGAGGCACGTTTTGGCCCCTCCATCATAGTTGGTCTGGTACACCCCCTGCCCCACTTCCAAGAGCCGGTCCCACAGTCTCCGAAACACAATTGGATATTGATCCTTGACATTCACGTGTTCGGTGGGATCCTTTTCAATATCAAACAAACACCCGTTTGGACATCCGGCATCTGGTCCTGGCATGGGGATTCGTTTGGTGGCATTGGGAAACTGCGTTCCCTGCCAGACTCCCAATCCTCCCTGTGTTCCATTGACGACTTTCCAAGGCCAGTCGATGAGGGCATGATCACCAGTTCCTCCTGGAAAATCGCATTCGGCTTCGGGAGTGCAATAAGAGAGTGGAATTTCGTGCCGGACTGCCGTGACATTGGTATTGTTGGGTGTAATGAGGGCGTGCCAAAAATCGCGACTGTCCACAGGAGGAACGTCGTCATTTTCGTCTTCAATTGGCCGCGTTCTTGTTTCGTTGTTTTGTCCAGAACCCGCCAATCCCACCAATGTGGCATACCAATCGACGAGATGCACTAGTAAATTGCTCCGGGTCCCCACCAGATGCGGAGCGTGTCGTTCGACGTATCCTCCCGTGACAAATGCCGCCGCTCGAACGCCTCCTTCAAAATCGGTCACTTTCCCACCCCGCAATGGATAATTGTTGCCGCCGTATTCGGCCTGGATCCATCCACCATTGTCCGACGAAAAAATGAGTATGGCATTTTCGTACAATCCACTCTCGCGTAGAGCGCGAGTGACATTTTGAACGCCTTCATCGAGAATGGCGGCCATGGCATTCATTCTAGACCGGGCGCGATGCGGGGAATCGTTGTCGACGGGTGTTTCGTATTCTGGGGGTGCTTCGAGGGGTCCATGCATGGCTTGCCACGCCAAATAGAGGAATAGTGGTTTTGTTTTTGGCGAGTGCTGTTGAATGAGGTTGACGGCATCCATGGCATAGAGATAGGTCGAGTAGGTTCCATTGCGGCCAAACGCGGGTGCCTGTTGGGACCACAAATCGACAAAGGGCATATTGTGTGTGTCGGTATTGATTTGTGTGAAATGATCCTGGCCTCCTTTGAGGAATCCGAAATGATGATCAAAGCCTCGACTAGTGGGTAAATTGGCCGTGGAACGTCCACCGACGTGCCATTTGCCAATGCACGCCGTCTTGTAGGATGAGTTGCTGGCATGTTTGATTTGCTGCGGCAACAAGGTCATGCGCAAATCGGCACCTCCCGGATTGGTAATGAGATTGTTCTTGTTGTTTTGCGTCACATGCAAGGGAAAGCGACCACTGAGGAGCGAACTACGGGCGGGACTGCAGTACTTGTAACTGTAGTGACGGTCCAGAATCACACCCGTCTGCGACAACGAGTGGATGAACGGCATGCGTTCTTGGATCTCGGCATTGCCATTCCAAGGAGCATTGTACCAACCCATGTCATCGGCCAGCATCAGAATGATATGGGGAGGACCGTCATTGGTACTACTTGTCTTCTTAGTAGTCTTTGGCTCACCATCATTCCTGACTTCATTCAAATTCGGAACACACGAAACTACCTCTGCAAACACAAGGACAAGAACCAATGAAAAGATCTTGAGGACTTGGGGAACCCACATCCTACTCTACCTGCAGCTGGCTATTCGTAGCTATGGATACTAGCTAGATAACAGATATACTATGACAACGGTAGCTCAAGGCACTTCTTCACAAACATAAGCCGCCTGCGTTGTGGGTTATTTCGATCCGAGATCTTGTTGCAAGATATAAGCTAGCTAAGCAACATTGATATCTGTCGTTCATCAAATCAATGAAGCACCTCCGGCGGGGGTTCAGAGTACGACTGTACTATGGGGGTTTAGAGTAGGGAAATTATCTACGGAAGTACTACCGTAGTAGGGAAATTATCTACGCACCTCCGACCATGAAAGAGAATCAAATATACATGGGCCGGCGAGGGGCCAGCTTGGCCAAGGACCACAACATCAGTGGAGCCATGGTGGCTGGTGTGGCTCCAGTCTACATATACCGTATTCAAGACAGATACATTTCTAAACTGGCAGCTATTTCAAAACCCTGTGTTCATTCTGAGTACTGTACCTACCGGGACAGCTCTTGGCAGGCTTCAACATCTGCCTCTAGGGCAAAACCAGCATCAAGACCCATCAGGAAGGGAACACATTAAAGGAAATGGGGCGTGATCTTGAATACTGTGTTCACTGTGTTGCCATGGTGTTGGAGTCTAAGGAATCGGCCCTAGTTTGGTGGCACATGCATCTCCATGACATCACCATTCTTGACCAGAATATCTTGTTGAATGCGCTGCATTCCAGGGATGCTCGTCTGAATGTAAACTTCTGCATCCCTATCCAGGTGGCCTGCTGTCTCCACCTCAAAACTGTGGACCCATTTCATCGGAGTTGACTTATACTCGACCTTCTTTCCACTGAGACCTTGGACATTGACGCTGAGGAGACGAAGATTTGTGTACACGTACATATCTCTGCCACACTTATAAGCTCTTTCCACGTGCTCATCATTCAACAGAATGGAAGGGTCACTGTGGAGCTGGTGATTCACAACTTCGGCATCAATCTCTACCGAGTTGCTGGTGAGCCATGATGTAAAGCTGTTCATATCCGGAGATTTTGGTTCCGAGGACCCAAATGACCCAGAGTTATCAAAGTACCGGGCCACGTCTTCTTTTGTCCCCAACAACATTGCGGACAAGAATTTTTGCAGCATGACAATGTCGGCTTTGCCCTTTCGAAAGTCCAAACTAATCTTTTTCAAACTCCAGAGATTGCGGGTGTACAGCTTGATCTCGGAATCTCGGTCCCAGCTACCGGCAGACTCTGCGGAGAATGCGCGGATGCTTTTGTAGGGGATGCTCTTGTATTCCACCTTTTTACCACTCCAGCCTTGCACATCCATAATCATGACGCGAAGATTCGTGAAAAATGTGGCATCACGACCCGCCTTGAACGCTAGGACAATGTTCTCGTCGTCCAACAGGACGGGTACTTCTGTGTGAAGAATTGCATTCAGTTCTGTAGGGTCTATCGCCCTTTGATCATCACCGATCTTGGACATGAACTTTTCAAACCCCTTCTCTGTGTCGGACGTGTTGCTGACGTTGGGATGGAGAGGCACCAGATCCTGAAGAGCATCACGGGCATGCAGGCATCGTTTGGAGATGTACTGCTTGACGGCAATAATGTCAACCAACTTTTTGTTAAAATCCAAGTCCCACTTCGACATGTATGATTCTTTATCATCACCCGAACCTTTGAACTTCATTTCCGTCCAAAGTTTAATTTCCGAGTCATGGTCGAGCGTCTTGCCAGCTGTTTCCGCGGCAAATCCAACCACGAATTTCCATGGAAGAGTGCTGTATTCGACCTTTTTCCCAGACCACCCTTTGGGGTCAATTTTGAGGCATCGCTTTGTCGTGAAGAGGAAGATGTCTCGCCAACCCTTGAATGCCATTTCGACCACTTCCGAGGACTGAAGAATGGGAGGAGAACTCTTGAACACTCGATCCATTTCGACGGCATCCAGGGGTCGATTGTTGCTACGCTCCCACCAACTGGCAGAGGGGTCAATGTGACCCTCTTTCTGATCAACCTCTCCAAGGATACTTTCGTCTCTGCCCAACACATGATTGTTGAGACACGTCTGAATGGACCATAGATTGACCTTGCTCTTTCTAAAGTCTTGCTTAATCTCCATGATTCCGTGAATGTCGGTAAAGATCCGCATTTCGGAATCAAAATCCCAGGATCCAGCCGTCTCTACGGCATAGCCACGGACGTTTTCCCATGGAACCGAGAGGAATTCCACCTTCTTGCCGGACAAACCTTTCACATCAATGACCAACACGCGTCTGGAAGTCAGAACGGTATAGTCACGCCATGTTTTGTAGGCCAATTCGACAGTTTCGTCTGGCATCAACACTGGATACTTGTTCTTGAGTTTGTCTTGCATATCCGCAGGGGTGATTTGCTTGGCATCGCTGCTGAGCCATTCGGCTACAGAACTGGCACTATCCGGGGGAAGTGTGGAAATAATGGCATCTTGCGTTCCTTGGGTGGTATTGTTGTTGGATGAAAGACATTTGCGATTCAAGAACTGTTTGACGGCAAAGATATCAACGACTTTCTTTCCAAACTCCACCTTGACAGCATTATTGGAGCGCGTGTAAATGTGTAGTTCGGTATCGTGGTCCCATCCTCCTCCCGCCGTTTCTACAGAAAATGCTTGAATGGCCGAGTACGGAATGGATTCAAAATTCTTGCGCTTGTGTCCAATCCCTTTCCCATCTTTGATAAGGATCCGATGCGATGTCAGATAGGATTTGTCTCTTGGATCCAAGGCGGACTTGTATGCCAACAGAATGCGTTCGGATTCATGAAGGACCAGTGGCTCTTTTTCCCGCAGTTTCTTCTCCGCTTCTTCTGCTTCGATTTGGTAGGAATTGTCCCCTACAATGTTGGCAAGGGTGGCCATCTTTTTTAAAATAATGGCCGTGCTATGGATTTGACTCGACTTGATCAGTCCTTGCAAGGCTGCTGTTGAGAGAGAGGAAAGATATCTTCCCTATTCTAGCAGCCTCTAGCCCCCTTGTCGTCAAGATACGGGTGCAGGGAATAAAGTGGACGTGGGCTCTTCTTTGCGTTAGCCTGGCCCTCGCTTGCTTCCAACTTCCCCAGCCTAGCTAGATAGCTATCATAGGAGACAAAAAACCTTCCCTGTTTCCAGGAGGAAGATGCACCCGAAGCGAAGCCGACAATTGAGTATCGTATCCTCCAGTTTCGAGGTCTTGGATCTTTTTGAAAGCCGTTTTGCTGGCTTTATTCGAATCTTAGTCATTTCGAATACTAGTAGAATCGAATCGAATCGAATCGAATCAGAATCCTTGGCGTCAAGATCCAACGCAACGGCCGCGGCCTTGGAAGATGGATGGTGTTGATCGACCTGCTACCCGTACAACTTTGTCTTGGTCTACAGTACCGTACGCTCTGCTCTGATCAGTCTCTACTACTATTTATAGCTGCATAGCTAGCTAACTACAGTACCAGTAGTATGAATAACAATAGAAGCCTCCCCCCAGAAGGCTCTATTGAACGCGGCACGGTATCGCGAATCGAAACATACGGTGCCTTTTGCGACTTGAACAATTACCATCGACTGCGTGGCTTGATTCACATTTCTCGGTTGGCCAACTCCAAGGTGGACCGTGTGGAAGACGTGGTTTCGGTGGACGATGTAGTGTGGGTCAAAGTCTTGGAGGTTTCTACAAGTCAAGACGAACAAACCGGAAGAACGCGCCACAAGATTAGTTTGTCGTTAAAAGACGCCAGTCAAGAAGATGGCTCTGATTTGGCCGCCCAAGATGCGCAACAGCAGGCACTGTCGCAACAGATCCAGCAGAATTTACAGTCCAGTATTGGAATGGGAGTCGCCATTGATCCCATGGCACAACACACGACCAGTAGCAGTCGCAGTAACAATCGATTGATTCTCAAGCATCAGCCCAAGAAACATGAAACCGTCATTAATGGATATGCACTCGTCGATGATGATGAAGGAGAGCCTGAACCGCCTCCACCTTCACAACCACCACGACATTATCAACGTCAATCAGACAGTAAGCAACCAACCACATCGGCATCCGATACTCGAACAGCAGCAACAGCAACACCCACTTCCATTGCACCCATGGGACGAGGAAGAGGCACCACTCTTCCCGCGTGGATGACACGGCAACAACCAATGCAACCACCAGGAGACGATGCCATTACCAAAAAAGAAAAATCACACAAAAGCGAGCGAAAACACAAGAAAGAGCGACGACACCGGGACGAATCACCAGATAGTCGCAGCAGCGAGGATCGACCCAAACACCGAAAACACAAACGCAAACACCGCGAGCGAAAGCACAAACACAAACGCCGTCGTCGGAGTAGAAGCAGGAGTGTCTCCTCGTCGTCATCTGAACGTGAAAGCAGGAGACGACACCGCAGTAAACGCCGACACTATCATAGCAGTGATGACAGTGATGAGAGTGACAGGGACAATCGAAAGTCAAAACGACGCAGTAGGGACGATCGTCGTCGTGATAAAAGTCGTTCTCCACCACCAAAAGACAACAACGACCAATTTCAGAGTGTGGAAGATGCACAACGACTTATTCAACAACTCGAAGCCAAAAAGAAGCAACGACACAAAGACAGGGATTGAATTGGATTTTATTTGATTATTCTACTAGAGAGGGATGAACACGGATGAAGGAACCATCGTTACGTGCGTGCATGCATGCATGTATGTTACAAACAAACACAACTTGGGGGCAAAAGAACCTACTAACTATAACAAACGAAACGCCATGCAAAGCATTCGTGCGAATGGCAAACAATAATAAGCAATCTATCTAGCTGTATACGGTACCGTATCGGATTGCAATGGCTGGTGATCAGCCAAAATGGTTCCCAAACCTTTCAGGCAGTATCTGGATTCATCCACGGGATGCGGACAGTGCTTTTCGTCTTGCCAGTGCCCATGACTGCAATCCCTTGTTTGCAGCTCATGACAATAAGTACTACCGGTACGTACAACGGCTCTTTCTGGCTACACGGTAGGATCCAGCTCCTGCGTGTCCATCCCAGATCATGTGGCATATCATTCTTATTAATCAGAACTAAATATTTGAGATTACATACAGTAAAGTACCGGTACGGTAAAGAACAAAGGCCTTATCCATCAATCGATCAAACATACAATGCGACAAGTCGTACATGTACTACTGGACGGCATGGTACACGTATGGTGTGTCATCCTTTTCACACTTTGCCTTTCAATGGCTTCTCCCAGGCACTTTCAATCTTTTTGAGAGCTTCTTCCTTGGACATCTTGTCCACTTGGGGCATGCCCATATTCTCATCGGTGGGGACCACAAAGAAAAATTCGTACAGCTTGTCGCCAACGGTTTGCTTCTTTTCATGTTCCTCAACACCCTTTACTTCTTCTTCGGGATGATGAAAGGGATGTTCCCAGGCATCTTCAATCTTTTTGAGGGCTTCATCCTTGGAAACTTTTTCCTTTTGGGGGAGTCCCAAGTTCTTGCCCGTGGGAACCACCAGAAAGAAATCGTGCAGTTTCTCACCCCATGTTTTATGGGGGCCATCATCATCTTTCGATTCCGATACAGGCAGGGGTTTGCCCAGAGGATGCTCCCAGGCGTCTTCAATGGCCTTTAACGCTTCTTCCTTGGAGAGCTTTTCCTTTTGGGGAAGACCCAGATTTTTGCCCGTCGGAGTCACCAAGAAGAAATCATGCAACTTTTCACCAACCGTCTGGCCTCCATCTTCCGTATTGTCCCAATTCTCCTCCACGTGCTTTAATGCTTCCTCCTTGGTCAAATTGTCATTGCCCAGCGCAGTCCTCACGCTTCCACCGATCGTTTCTTCTGCCATCTTTCTCCGTGTTCCGTGGTACAATTCGAGTTAGAATACCGATAGTAGTCTCTTTTTTCTGACAAGATGTTGTCTCGGGCTTCTGATCAGTGTGCCGAAGATGTTACGATGTACTAGTCTATGGCTATTGCAGTGGACTACATGTTTGGATGGTGGATGCATCATGCATGCTCACAAAAGATTTTGTTCGGTGTAGTTTCGGAACAGTCATCTCTCCAAGATTCGGTCATTTTTCTGCGATGAATCTTCAGTTTTGACACCATTTCGAGTGGCTCAGCTGCTTCCGCAACCTCACAAGACATCGCTCTTCGAACATTCCAATCGATCAGCCTCGATCAAGATAAAAGATACCATTGGGTCCAAGTCTTATTACACCCTTTATCACACAACAATGAGCGACGAAAATAAGCAGGAAGATGACAACGACTTTAAGGCTCCACCAGCCCTGGATTTGGATTTGCGTTTGGGCATCGAAGCCATTATGAACAAGCTGCAGCAAAATTTGGAATGTGATGGTGTCTTGCTGAGAAACTGCGATGATAATACAGGATACATGGCCAAGAATTTTGACACACTAGAGGGACTCCAAGAACTAATGGCAATATTTGAATTGGTTGCCTTGCTCCCCAAGTTGACCAATTTCCAAGTGCACCTTGCCCGTGGAGCATCTCCCGACAAACCCCATAAATTGCCATCGCAACTACTGAGTATGGTGATTAATCAATGTCACGATTTGTCCTATATCCGATTTCAGGGAATCATGATGTCCGATGCCAATGGCAAGTACGAAGGATTGGCCAAGTCACTGCGGATGCATCCCTGTTTAATGTGCATTCATTTCATTGGCTGTGCGCCCGAAGAAGGATTGACACTGGATCCACTTTTGGCTGCCTTGCCGGGGATTCCCACATTGCAAGAAGTGGACCTCGTCGACTCGACCATTACGAGTCCTTCCAAACAGAAAGTGTGGACGGGAGATACACTGCTCCATCTGGCCCTCTCCAAAAACTTGTCCAAAATTCGACTGAGTTGTATTCGGCATCTGCTACCGACTCACATTCAAGCGATGGCTTCGGCACATGAAAAGAGTGAAACCCTCCGTGTGCTGGTCATTGAAGGAGAAGATGATGATGATTCCGAGGGCAACGGGGACCAAGACGATTTGTACAAGGACGATGTTCCAGCCGAAACCGAGGAGGCAAAGAAGAAAAAGGAAAAGAAAGAAAAGAAGAAGAAAAAGAAAAAAGAACTCGTCAACAAGAAAAAATCCATCAAGGAATCCGACAATCCCACCAAAAAGGAAGAAAAGAAGAAACACAAAAAGGACAAGAAAAAAGAAAAACGATCCAAGTCAGACTGGTCTTCGGCAACAGCACCCAATGGAAACACCTACTACTACAACAAAAAGACTGGAGAAACATCATGGACCAAACCACCGGATTTATAGAGTGAGGAGAGACAACAATACTTTCTTACCATACTGTGTCTTGCTTGAAATTAGCTGGGTTTTGTGGCTGTACTTTTGATTGAGCCATTTAAAAATGGACAACGATGGTGTTCTCGTGGAGGATGGGGTTATTAAGCAAATCTCCTTGGCAATGGCAACGTAATAGGCAAAACGCAGGCACCTTCGATGCTTGGAGGGCGGTTTAGAGTTTAGAGTGCGGTGGGGTAGTTATCTACGGAAGCCGGCAGATTCGATTGCTCTGTCTGACTGTGGCGATGCGGCCCCTCAATTGACACGGACAGTAAGTGGTACTGGTGTTGAGAACTTCGCTGTAGGGCTCATCGGTGAACCAGTGGTCCAGCTATAGATCTAGCAAGCTAGAGCTAGGAATTATGGTAGTCTAAGGAAGGTAGCAGAGGGGCAGCTTAGGCTTCTATGGGTACCTGCAAGAGAAGTTTTAGCCACTACGACTGTACTCTAGAGGAACTTGTTTTTCTACACCAAGTCACAAAATGAGATTGGAAAGGTTTCTTCATCTGGTGCTGGCTAGCTGTTGTACCGGTAGGGATCCCAGAGCGGAGGCAGACTAGAGCTATGGCGGGGATTGCAGTTGAGGTACATAAGTCTACCGTATGGGTACCCGTACACCTCTTTTCGAATCTTCGAATCGAATCAATCTTCTATCGAATCAATCATTCAATTCGAATAAAGCCAGCAAAGCAGCGTTCCCAAAGATCCAAGATCCAGACTGAATGTCGTCATCAGTCGGATGAAAATAAATGGAGCTCGGATGTTCTGAAAATTGCGACCACAACCACAACTGCAGCCATCACCATGGGTCTTCCTGTGTTGCTGTGGTGGTCCTTGACCAAGCTGGCTCTCCTCATCTCCTTTGCCGTCCACACTCCTCAACCACAGCAGCAACAAGAAGAAGCGTCCCTGCTGACCCAAGCACGCCAGTTTTTGGCAGTCAACGACACGGACACTGCATTTCAGTATTTGACACAAGCTTATGCCAACGACCGAAACCAACCGGGATTGTTGGCGTGTTTCCGTGATGTCTTTTCGCAGAGAATTGAGAGCCACGACAATGCCGTCGATCGCATGGGATTGGCCAGTATTTTACTCGAGTATGAACACTACGGAGCCGCGGCACGGCACCTCGAACAAGCCGTCCAATTGACTGCAAGTAAAAGTAGTGCCAATGCCTTGTCCATGCTCTTTGCCGCACGGGCCGCCGTCTGTGATTGGACACACATCCAGCAAGACAGTCCAGCACTGGTAGCATCGGTGCAAGCGAGTCTGAAACAAGAGGATCAAACTCCAGCGGTTCATCCCTACAAGGCACTCATGTGGCCATGTCTGTCTCTCGCAGACTCGACCAAAATTGCCTCCAAGTTTGCAAGAAGGGCCATGTCTGCTGTTTCAGTAGATCCAGTGCCAACTTCTTCTTTATTGGTACACAAAGAAGAACCATCCATCTTCCAAGTTTCATCACGACGGCGACCCACCAACGGCAGACGAATCAAACTGGGGTATCTGTCACCCGACTTTACAGGGGCACATCCATTGGCCTTTCTGATGCAAGATGTCTTTCGCTTGCACAACACTTCCGAGTTCCAACTTTACATATATTCACTTGTAGAATCTGATGACAGTCTCGAAGTCGCCAAGATTAAACATGCGGCCCACCAATGGACCGTATTGCCTTCATCAAACGCCGCCGCCGCCGAAACGATTCGAGACGACGAGCTCGATATACTGATTGACTTGTGTGGCTACACTGGCACCAGTACCGTGGCCGAAATCATGGCCCACAAGGTCGCCCCCCTTCAAATCGCCTACATGGGATTCCCCGCCAGCACTGGTGCCCCCTTTATCGATTATGTCGTCTGCGATCGCATCGTGGTTCCTTCCTCTTCTGAAGTAAGACAACACTACACCGAACAACTCTTGCTCCTGCCCCACTGCTATTTTGTCAACTCGCATCGGTATCTGTCTTCTTCGTTACGTCAACCACAAATGCCCAGAACACGCTACAATCTACCCGACAGTGCATTCGTCTATTGCTGCCACAGTCGACCGGAAAAGATTGACCCCCATACCTTCAAGTCGTGGTTGCAAGTATTGGTCAACGTACCCCATTCGGTGCTCTGGTTGTTGCGCTCGGGAGACGAGATGGAAGACAATCTGAGACAAATCGCTGAGCAAGAGTTTGCACTCGACAAAAACCGATTGATCTTTTGCGACAAGGCACCCAGGGATCAACACCTCGCACGGTTGCAACTCGCCAATCTCTTTCTCGATACACCGGCATACAATGCCCATACGGTTGGATGCGACTGTTTGAGTGCCGGGGTTCCCATGGTCTCGTTGCTGCGTAATCATGTCGCACCGCCCGACGAGGTCGAGACGGACAAATGGGCCAGTCGCGTGGGGGCGAGTTTGTTGGCCGCCATTGGATTGGACGACGTGCTCGTGGCTGGTTCCATGGAGGCCTACCAAGCAATCATGGTCCATTGTGCCACCGACTCGGAATGGTTCTCTTCGGTCAAAGAACGATTGCAACGGAATTACCACACGGCACCCTTGTTTGACACGCCACGATGGGTTCGAAACTTGGAAACGGGGCTCTTGGAGATTGTTGCACTCCGCACTGAGGGTGGTAGTAGCTATAGTGACATTGAAATCGTGGACAATGCCGGCAGATAGCATACCGGTAGTACGGGGGATCAGACTAATGCGAGGCAAAGCGGGAGACAGAAGACCATTGCAATGCACAAGCTTGCAGACGAAATTTTGAATACGACCAACATTTTTTAAAACGTGACGAATGATAAAAAATCAGTTCAACTATTCCTTCCTTTCCCACCAGTCTTTCTCCATGCTGTCGCAAAAAGGCCGAACTAACGGGAGCGGTGGGGAACGGCGAAACTCGACTCACACCATCGCCCTCATCGACTGCAACACTCGACGTTGAAGTACATGTATGGAGAAACAATGACTAAAAACGTTGGCAAAAGCAACCAACAGTACCATGAAGTACAGTTTGGAAATGAAATTGCACAACTAAACAGCTTTATCAAACTAAAATTGTTGTCACGTCGCTGTTCCAATGGATCCTGAGTGGGTGATGATGGATACATCGTGATATCATGGTAGCTGCCGTTGAGCAAAAAATGGCATCATACTGCTTCCTGAGCTCTACAAGTGGCTGGTAGATAGTTTAGATTGTTATTGCTCCTCTTTGTCGTGCCCGTAGAGAGTGTCTCTATTGTGGTGTGGATCATTTCCATCGTCGATGATGGGAGCTTCCAATTTGATTTCCCCAGAATCAGTAATGACAATTTTGTCAGCACGAGGAATCCCCCCATATGTTCCTTGCTTTTCAATTATCTTCACGACAGCCTCACTGCCATCCATTATTCTTCCAAAAATGACATGCTTGCCAGTCAACCACTGTGCTTTGACGGTTGTAATGAAAAACTATACCAGTACGATAGATAAAGAAATAGTAGACCATAAGGATCACAGTCCAGCAGCTGTAAGTGGAAGGCATTCTCACACACAGAAATGACGCGAATGCCTACGTACCTGCGAGGCGTTTGTATCCGGTCCGGAGTTTGCCATCGCCAAGAGGAATTTTCGATTGAACTTGACCTTGGTCATGTCCTCATCCTCGAAGGTTCCACCATAAATACTGTCTCCACCTGTGCCATCATTTCGGATGATATCGCCACCTTGAATCATGAAATCAGGAATGATTCTATGGAAGGAGCTGCCCTTGTAGCATAATGCGGGCTCTCCACTATCACAGGCGCAGAGTGCTCGAAAATTTTCTACCGTCTTTGGCGCATATTCCCCAAAGAGACCCAGCACAATCCGACCTACGTCGTGGCCATCAATTTCGACTTGAAGAAAGACTTTGTGTGTTATGGCAGGAAGAGTTCTAGAAACGAAAACAGAAGGATCGAATGAATGAATGAATGAATCGAATGATTCAATCGACAACATCCCCTTTACAATTAACCGTTGGACTCAACTCACTCTTTTGGATCCATCTTCGGAGGAATGGCTTTATGCCCGAGGCCAGCTGAAGCCACATGATCACGACATAGTGCGGCAATGACAAAGAGAAGACACAGTCCTCTAGTGTGGAATAACATGGTTTACTTTCTGAGAGGGGAAAAGAGTGGAGTTCTTTGGCATGATGGCATGCACACATTGCGGCGTTGGAGTGTGGACTGTGGCCAAATGAGTTTAAAGCAGCAGAGCGGTTTGAACATAGAAAAACACTTTTCTGAATCGCTGCGGAGAGCAGAGGAGGTACGAGAAGCACCAACGTTGACGAAACGCCAGTATGAAATGTCACTCGTCATCTACTAGCTATTGTAGAGAGTAACGATCAATACAGAACAGTTTATCTATCTATCTTGCTAGACTAGAGAACCTGTTCAATCATTCCCACCGCAATCGTCTCCCCCGATCGCCGTAGCACAAACCGTCCCAGGGCACGACATTGTTGAAAAGATTCCATACAAATCTTGTCACTCAATGTAATCTCCACTTCGGCCGTGGACGAGGACGGAATGGCCCGGGGACGCACTTTGGGTTGTTGTTTGGCACCTCGTTTGGTCATACTGAGCAAATTGGAAATATTGGCCGGGACATCCAAATGATGAATGTGAAATAACACTTGGGCGCCACGAATAATGGGAACGGCCAAATCGTCCATGACGACAATTTTGGCCCGACACTTGAGCGAAACAGGAGGACGTTGCTGGGGTCGCGCCAACAGACTTCCCATGGCAACCCGGACACTGTCAATTCCAGTGAGTACCAAATCGACCGTTTCTCCCACAATGGCATAATCGAGTCGCTTGTCATCGACGGTAGCATGCAAATGCTGTAGACTGTTCACTTTGGCATCATCTCCAATGGGCAATACGACGAGTTTTTCACCCGTTTTGAGGAATCCTTGTACGACTTTACCTCGCGCAGCGACTCCTTTGCCTTCGGCGTAGACATCCGAGAGAATAATGCGCAAAGGTTCGGCTGTGTATCCAATGTAGAGTTTGTAATATGGATTTGGTAAGTGTCGAGCGGGACGAGTTGGAGAGAAAGTTCGAGTGAGGGAGTGTTCGAGCGAGTGAGAAGTGAGTGAGAACGAGGGACATCAGAACAAGGTAAACAAACACGCATCCATGTCGTAATAGTGATTGCCGCCATGATGATGATGATTGAGTCGACTCGCAAGAAGAACTACATGTATGTAACGTACCTAGATTGGAACTCTTGACGGGCATAAAGGCATCAATGGCCTCGTAGAGACTGGGTCCCTTGTACCACGAGGAGAGCGCGGCAGGTGGCGGAGTTGTATTCTTTTTGTTACTGTTGGCATTCTTCGCATTCATGATATTAACACCCATCAATCCACTGGTCGGAATGAATCGTATTCGTTTGGGTGCAAATCCAGCTTGTTGGAGCAGAAATGGTTTGAGCCGTTGTTGAATATCGTTGTAAACCGATTGAGACCACTCGCGGACGTCCAATTTGTTGATACAGACAAGCAATTGGGAGACTCCCAGTCCGCGTGCGAGCAAAATGTGTTCCTTGGTTTGTCCCTTTTGCAACATGCCATCGAGATTGGCGGACGATGCATCGACGACCAACAATCCGGCATCGGCCGACGCCGCTCCGGTAATCATGGTGGGGACAAAATCGGCATGACCGGGAGCATCCAACAAAACAATTTGGGGATGACGGGGCGTCGACAGTGTCTTGGTGGCAATTTGCATTGTGACACCACGGGTTTGTTCTCCTTCGTCTTCGTCGAGCAGCCATGCCCATTGGACCTCTGTATTGTTGGAAGTGTTGTTGTTGTTGGAAGTGGTGACTTTGGACGTTTGTTGTCGTGTAATGAGTCCTGCTTGATAGAGCAATTGTCCCATCATGGTGGATTTTCCCGCATCGACGTGTCCAATGACCACGACAGATAATTGACTCTCTTGTCCGGCACTGCAGGTCTTTTGCAGAATGTCGGGTACGGGTACCGATTGGGGATTATTATTTGTAGTTGCTGTAGAGGATTGTGTGGAGTTGTTGTTTGTATTTGGAGTATTGGATGGTGGGGTAGCAGCCGTAGTGTTTGGTTTGCCCCATCCAGAAGGAGGACTGATGGTAGCTGACGGCGTAGCTTTAGGTGTTCCCCAGCCAGGTGGAGGTTTGCTGACTCCTTTGTTTACTGCAGCCGTCACTGGTTTCGTGGTATTTCCCCACCCTGGAGGAGGCTTGGCCACACTCAGTCCACCACCTGAAGAACCTGAAGAAGTGGTGCCAGTGGCAGCAGTGGCAGCAGTGGATGGAGATGGGGTAGCTGCTGGAGTCTTTGGGTTCTGCTTGACTTGCTGCGGCTGTTTCTTATTGGTTTGATTCTGTTTCTGAGTATTGTTGGTCTTGCCTTTAGCGTTGTTGCTGCCGCTCTTGGGTTTACTATAGCTGGAGCTACCGGCACCATAATCTCCATAGTCGTCGTAGTCATCATAATCATCGTAGTCGTCGTAGTAATCATCTTCGGCGATCATATTACGAACATTGCGGTGTCGACTCATGGTTGCTGCGTTGTATTTGCTGTTCTTATTGTAATAATGAGGCTAGCTAGTCAATACACCCTTACCTAGATAGATTGATGGGATGGATGGGCAGAGGCTTCAAGCATATAACTTTCGCTCATTTTTTTTGTGACATCCTCGAGACTTGAGGCCGATTCCTAACACAATCCCTTCGGGATTGCCCTCGGTCGCCTTCTCCTTCTGCTGCTCATCATCCATGGTCAAGTGGTTGGTTGTTGGCTATCTCTCAGTCCGGATGGACTGGGGGAGAGCCTCACAACGC